GGCCATATTATAAAGAAGCAAACAAACAGAAAAAAAATCTTTGGCCTAAATTGTCAAAGAGAGAAATTGAACCAGAAAAAAAGCCAGAAGCTTGAAATTTTTTGTTTTGTTTTGTTTTTTTTTTTTTGGTCAAATTACAATTTTTTTCTTCTAGCTGGCAAAATTAAACTACAGTGTGGAATTTCCTTTCAAGAAAATTAATGCTAATTTGCATCAACTTTTTTTCTGTATTTTTTTTTGCACATTTCGACTGTTTTTTGTTGTTGTTGTTGTATTCTACATTTAATTTGTGTGACAACCATAGAACTAGAAATGTATGTATAGCATAAACGAATAAGTCAAAAAAAAATGGAAAACGACATGGATCAGCAAAAAAAAACCATAACCAAAATTACGACTACATAAACTTGGTTGAAACCAACGATAATTTCATGTTCATTCATAAAAAAAAATTCTCTATGAAAAGAAAATTCTTGATTCTTTTTCTGTGTATTGATAAATCATTATTATAATGCATTGATTTAATTTAATTTTTTTTTCTTTCTTCATAACATTAATTGTCGATTGATTTGGATTCGTAACCAATATTCGTATAAACGGAAAATATAAACGATTATGGATTTTTTTTCTTCATATTTGCTCCAATTCACACAATGAATCAATGATTCCATTATCCGACCATAATCGATGAAGAAATGGACCATTAGAAATCCAATTTCCATTATTATGATCGATTAATAGATTTGGGATAGAATTTTTTTTTTTTGTTGACCCATTTTTTATGATACCACTGAAAACAAAAGCCAAATAATAATTTTGCTTGGGTTGACCCATTTTTTATGATACCACTGAAAACAAAAGCCAAATAATAATTTTGCTTGGGCTAATGTTGATAAATCCATTCTATAATTGACCTTGAAATTTAATTTTAGCTTTTGTATTTCATTACTACCCAAAAAATCATGATGATGATGATGATGATGATGAAATTAATAATTTACTAATGTTGCTAATGGCTACGAAAAAGGTTCCAAAAAAAAAGTGGTTGCTCACTTTGGTTTTTGTAGTTTTTGTTTTCACATTCACTTCACATGATGATTCATTTGGTTTTGTGATTTTTTTTCTCATTATCTGATTATTAAATGCGATTCTTGAGGGCAACATGACCAATTTTTTTCATTTGCACATAGAATTAGATGTTATCAGAAGCAAAAATTCGGTCGATATATTCAGAATTTTTTTTTGCTCGATTATCATAATCATAATTTTATTATTTTTCTCATTTCTCATAAAAATGCAACGAATCTGAAACATTTACAAAATGAAAATGAAAATTGTTTCACTATAGCAAAACTTTGTTGTAGTTGTAGTTCATTTTTTCTGCTGATCATTCAAATTGCGAAAAAAAATCGATTTTGATTAAATCAAAATTAAAATCTGGCCTCAATATATAATCTAGTATGCCTATGTGATTGGACGGAATTCTGGCCAAAAACTCACATGAATTCTATAAAAATCGATCTCAGAATTTAATTTTGATCGATTTTTACCAAATAAATAAATATAAAAAAAAATTCTCGTTTGTGTACTCTGATTTGCGATCACTAGATGGTGCGTCAAGCATATGGGAAATGTTTTTCAAAAAAAAAATTCACATAGGAAAACGATTGATTTGTTCGTGAATGTGTGTGTTTGTGTATGGGTCTGCGATTTGATGAATATAATACAATATAATGCTCTATGTCGTACGTTTTTAAACGTCGTAGTTTATACATCGATTGGCATTGTTACATGATATGATAAGAAGAAAATAATTTGTAAATGATTCTGTCAATGGCTATAAAATGTCTTTGGCCTCATCATTTTTTTTTTTATAGAAAAACGAATTTCACATCTAATTCAAAGGATGTTTGCATGGTTTTTGTATATAAATGATGATGATGAATACTATTATATATCATTAATGATTAGAATATGTTTGGATGTTGCAAAAAAAAACACGACGACAGAATAATATTTACGCGATCGATGTACTTTGATCGACGAACCCATTCTATTTTTTTTAATTTTTTGTAATGACACCCATCCATCTACCCACACACCCGCACGCATGTATGTATTGTTCGTATTTTGGGCCATTGACACCTGATGATGATGATGATGCTGCTGCTGCTGCTGCTTGTCTGTCTAGCTAACAGAATCATGATTCTGTGTGTGTGTGCGATGTTTTCAGTCAATCATACGAATATCGATGATCGGAATCAAATTTTTCGTCGATCAAAATTGAATTCATTCGGTTTTTAATTTAATTTAATTTTTATAAAATTTTTCATGATTTATTTTCTAGGGAAAAAATAAAAAAAATTCTGAAATTCAGATCGAATGATGACTAATAGAGGTCACATAGATACAATGACACAAGTGATTGCGACTTTTATAAATTTTTTTTCCATTATTTTTCTCTTCACAAGTTTACTGTACTTTTCGACGACAACGACGACGACGATGACAATGATGATGGTGATGATGATGATAAACTTGTGATCTCGATATGAGTGTGATATTTATTCTCAAACAATGGATTTTTGGTTTTTGAAAAATATTTATCAGCCACACACACACACTTGATTCATGAATCATCATCATCATCATCATCTTAATCACATGATTCTTTGTATACAGAATTTAAAAAAAAAAATTCTCTCTAGTTTTATGATGATGATGATGATGATGCGTATTTAAAGAATAACGTGCGCACACACACACACACACATTCATGCCATGTGAGATTAGTGAAGAAAGAGAGAGAGAAAAAAAAGCAGATTTTATTTACATATATGCGACACACGCACACATGAGAATTTGTCACCGATTTGGCTGTATAAATACTTTGGGACATTATTTTTTTTCAGCATAAAACAAAACCTTTTTTTTTCTGTCAATGATCACGAGACAAACTTTAAAAAATTTTTTTTCTGTTTTGAAACTTTTCAAAAATTAATTTTCAATTCTTGTGTGTGTGTGTGTGTGTTTTAAATCATTCGTTTGTTTTTTTTTTTTTTTTTTTTTGAACGGTGAAAAAAATTGATTTCTCTTTTTCTTTTATCGATTCAGCTGTCGAGAATTTTCAAAAATAACAAACAAAAAAACGACAAGTAAGTAATTAAAAGTGGTTTCTCAACATTTCAAACATTTGTTTGTATTATACGGTTTTTATTTCGAAAATGAAAACCAACATTTTTTTCACATGAACAAAAATACAATGTTAACAGATTAATTCTAACAACAACAACAACAACAACAACAACGATTGGCAATTGAAAAAAAAAAAATTATTTAAAATCAAAGAATATTCAGGAAATAATTTTGTTTTTACTGAAAAAAGGTAAAAAAAAAATGCAAAATTTTTTTTTTACCTTTTTTCCAGAATATTGATCATTTTTTTCCCTCCAATCAATCAGCCAACTATTGTCGACGTTGTTGTTGTTGTTGTTGTTGTTTTTTTGATGATTTTTTTTATCATTTTTAATCATTATAAACAATTGATGATTAGTTGAAGAAATTTTTTTCCACATTTTTTTTCCAATATTTCACAACGTAATGAATTGATGATGTCGTAATAATTCCATTACATTACGCCATAATGTCACATGATTATAATTCACATTACGGTCATCATCATCATCATCAACATCATCATCTATGATAATATTGCCAGAATATTGCATCATCAAACAGCATAAAGAATAATAACTTTGGATTTATTATTCCTATACACACAGGAATTGTATTGATAATAATTTTGATTCTAATATTAGAATATACTCATTATATACATATATATATATATATGAAGAGAAAGAGAAAGAAAAAGATGACTTTAACCAAATTCATTCATTCATTCATTCATTCATCTCATTATTGTGAAATATAGCAACAAATGTTGTTTTTTTTTTGCTATTTTATCCTGTTGAATGTCAGTGCCAAATATTCAAATATACCCCTTCACAAATAATAATAACAAGTTTATTTTGAATTCTCAAAACGTTCATCATGATGATGATGATGATGATGTTTAAATCAAGTGCCAAAATATACGTTTTTTTGTATGGATGAATTTAATTCTGTTTATGTGTATTTGTGTGTGTGTGTGTGTGTGTGTAGAGAGAATCAAGATTCTTATACAATTCGCACATGACTGAATTGATCATTGCTGCTAATGCTTCCTATTCTGTTTTTTTTTTTAATTATTAAATTGAATATTCGCCTCTTTTGTTTTGTTTTGTTTTGTTTTTTACTTTGCATAACTTTTATATTTTTCACAAAGATAAATAGTAGTGGTAATAATAATGAATGAATGAATATCCAAATTTTCAATGTTTATTTCTTGAAAACTTCTTTGACTACTTCTTTTTCTTCTTCATTTTGTCATTGTCGAATTAATGTTTTGATGATTTTTTCTTTTTTTATTCTTCTTGTTGTTGTTGTTGTTGTCGTCGTCATTTTCCGCACTATTCAAATTCAGTTGTTTTGATTTTTCTTACATACATAAACAGAAAAAAAAATTCATGCGCACCATTTTTACGATCATCATCATATATATATGCCATTGAGTGTAAATAAGAAAGAAGAAAATCAAACTTGTGAATTTTTATTTTCAAAATCAAAAAGTCAAATCATCATCTTCATCATCTGTAATTTGTTTTTTAAAATAAAGAGAAAAAAAAATATAATCCATTAGTGTTTGTTTTGTTCTGTTTATTTGTTTGTTTGTTTGTTTGTTGTCGATATACTCCGTCGTATTTCATTAGTTTTTGTTTGTTTGTTTGTCTGTTTGTTTCATTTCCATTTGATTTGATTTGATTTCAAATTTTGGATTTTTTTTTATCCTCTGTCAGTATGGATTAAAATGAAATTTTTTTTCTTTTTGTTTTTATTCTCTTTTCATTCTTTTTCTGCAGTATAGATTATTTGTTTGTTTTGTTTGTATTGTTTGTGTGTGATTTGAATCTGTTTCTGTTTCATTTTTGGTTTCACTAATAATAAATAATGCCATCACGATTGGATAATAATGGTACGGATGTTGTACCATTAATGCCATCATTACAACGATTACAACGTGAATTAGCTGATTCAATAATACGTCAAGCACCATTGGATGAGATACGAATATTGTTGGCCTGTGGAGCTAAAGTAAATGAACCAGTTACACAAGGTAGGCATTTTGATGTTTCTGAAACAATGAAAATTTGACATTTTTTTGTAAATCTTCCTTTGGAATTTAAAAAAAAACCACAAAAGGTTTACGCCCGCTCCATTACGCCACCTATCAACGATATGAGAAAGCTGTAAATCTTTTATTGGTTCGTGGTTGTGATGTTGATGCTATGGATGATGTTGGTTATACTGCATTACATTTATCAGCTGAACGTGGTTATAATGAATTAATGAATCTATTGATTGAACATGGTGCACGTGTTAAATTCACTGAACTACGTCCTGATGATAAGGTTTGTTCCATATTTTTTTTTTTTTTTTTTTTGATAACGGCTTGTATATTAATGAATTATTTTTACATCAGGCTTTGGGCAATCCACCACGTGCAACAGTTGCTGATGAACCATTACGTTTAGCAATTAAAAATGGCCATCTAGAATGTGCTGAAATATTGCTCAAAAATGGTGCTGATCCAAATGCAAGATATTTTCTTGGATCAGAAATCAATCTAATTTCACCATTAAATGTAATGTGTTTGGAAATGTTACTTAAATATGGTGCCATACCAGATTCACGTGATCGTTCCGGTTTAACACCATTGATGAAAGCATGTCGTCATCCACAAGGTTATGCTGCAGCCAAAATTCTTATCTATCATGGTGCAGATGTTAATGCTATTACATCAGGTAATTAAAAAAAAATTTTAAATTTAAAAATTAAAACTGCTGCTGATTCTTGTCATTTTTTTTTTTTTTTTTTGGTCAACAGAACGACATGATTATCGAAGTGTATTACATTATGCCGTATTGAGTAATAATATTGATATTGTACGTTTATTATTACATCATGGTGCCAATGCACGTTATATATTTCCAACGGCTACGGCACAAAAACCAACACCATTGGATTTTGCATTGCTTAGTGGTAATGTTGAAATGGTTAAATTATTAATCGATGCCGGTGCTGATGTGTGTGTGTGTGTGTGTGTGTGTAATTTGAATTTTGAAAATTTTCATTCATCTCTTTTTTTTGTATCAATTTATACAGGTAAATGTTGGCTCACCAATTATTGGACGTCCATTACATATTGTACTATCAGAAAAAGTAAATGTTTCTTTTGGTTTTTTTTCTTGCTTTCAGATTTCTTACATTTAGTGTTTGAATTATACTTATCCACATAATTAGGCTCCAAACAAAGCCGAATTAATTGATCTATTATTGGAAGCTGGTGCCGATCCGAATGCAATCACAAATGATGCACGTGGTCCATTGTTGAAACCACCAATTGGTGAATATTTCAATGCTACTGAACGGCCACAAGCATTTATTGTAAGAAAATTATTAAAATATGGTGCCAAAATTGTCATCAAAGTGAGTAGTATTGATCAAAATCAATATTTCAATTTCCATTTTGATTATCAAAAAAAAAAAAATGTTTTTTTTTCTCTCACTAGGCTCAAGTACATGATCAAATTGGCATACTTAAAGTGGTGAATCGTTTAGATCTTGAACGTGATAAAGAAGTGATTAATCTAGTACTAGAAGCAGCCGATGCATTCAATGTTGCCGGTATTAAACGTTGTTCATTATTAAATGAACGTCTTCGTGAAAGAATCTTGCAATCGGCAACAAGACCACAACCATTATTACATCTATGTCGGCAATATATTCGTCGTGTTTTGTATGAAATATCCATACAAGCACAAGCAAATATGATACAAAAAGCACGTTCCATTCAATGTCCATTGTATGTGAATCGTACGATTAGTGAAAACGATGAATTGAATGAAATTGAATCACAAAGATTAGATCGTATGACAATGGATGAAATTGATGATGCATTTATAATTGGTGGTAATGGTGATCCAGAACGGTTGAAATTATTAACCATTTTATTACGACGTACATCGATAAAACCATCACCAGCATCACAATTGGCCGGTACACAGGTGATTGAACGTATTGAAAATCTATTATTACCAGACATATTGAAAAGATATCTAAATTTTGAGATCTCATTCACCAGTATACATGAATTGATGGCTGCTTGTTAACAACAACCACCACCACCATAACAACAATAAATGGTCAACAACAACAACAACAAAAAAATTTTTTTTTTCACTCTTCATCATCATCATCATCATCATCGTTATTATTATCATCATATTGAATCACATTTTTATCATTGAAAAACAACGTAAAACAAAACGACAACATGATGATTTATAAATTTTACATTTTTTCATTTTATTATTACAAGCTAATCAATATTTACAAACAAGAAAAAAAAATTTATCCCAGAATCAATCATTTGACATTTTCTATCTATTACTACTACTACTACTAATATAAATATGACTGTGATCTTTTAGAAGAATTTTTAAAGCAGCAAAAAAATTTTTTTTTTTTTTGAAAAAAAAACTGAATCAAAAAACCAAATGATCAATAATTCGTCACACACACACACACACATACATACACACGTCACTTGTAATCAATCAATCAATCAAAATGTGATTTTTTTTTCTATTTTCAACACTGTATAATGTAGGTGTGTGTGTGTGATGATGATGATGATGACGTTTAAAAACTTTGCAATTAAATGAATTGAAAAAAAAACATTTCAAAATTCATGATGATGATGATCATCACCAAGTTTTTTTATTTCATGTTCATGTTTAACAAAAATAACATAACGAAAAAAAATAGAATGAATGAATACATTTAATCCTTAACGATACATATATAATCATCAAATTGATAAGCAAGAAAAAATGGTTTTCTTTCTATTTTTTTCAAAAAAAAACTCGAACAAAATTCATACACAGTTGTATATTATATTTAGATGATGAAATGAAATTTCAAAAGTAAGAGAAAAAAAATTCGATGATCGATAAGTCGTTTTTTTTAAAAAAAAATTTATTTTTGTCTCTCATTTCACTAAGGCCAAATTTTTTGTTCAACAACGAAAACAACAATCATTTGATGATGATCAAAATCATCATTTGTTGTTATTGGTTTTTCTTATTAAAATTATCATTAATATTTTTAATCAATTGTTCCAAGGTAATCTGATCGGTTTGTAATTGATTCAATTGTTGTAATAAATCATATGCAATTCTGGATGATACACGTGAATCATTATGATAATCATTATGGCCAATAACAAAACGTCTTATAAGCTGTGCAGCTGTTGGTAATTCACCTTTTGCGCGGCTAGATATAAGACGTAAATATAGATTCAATTTACAACGTGTTTCAGCATCAATTTCAACACTATCCAGATAGAAATTTAATAACGGTATAAGTCCAGGAAAGCCACTACTATCATCATCACCATCATTAACATGTGTACCATTTATAATTTCATCGATTGTTAATTGCACACAACAGTTTTCAATATTTTTCTTTGATCGATCATAACCAGAAGATGTAGAAGTAAAACAATTTGATAATTGTTTTATTGATGACCAACATTGTGGTTTACGTCGTACACGTAAATGTTCACGAATATTCTGTGGAAATGAAATATTACGACGAAACCAGAATCGTTTATTTTTTACTGCATCACGTTCTTGAGCAACTTTCATATTTTCTTCAACCTATATATGTAAATAAATTATATTATTAATTATTAATGATGATGATGATTTGGGACAAATGTTTGGCAAAGAAAAAAAAACATTACCTTTGACATTGGTATCAATAGATTTAAATTAAATGATAAAATCAATCTAGTGAGCAATACGATGAAAATAACTAATGCAGCATTTTCCGTATCGGTCAATTGTAATTCCATTGGACGAAATTCAACACGCCAACCAATTTCTAGTTGACCCAATGGTGGTGGTTTAAAACGCATTGTTTGCCAATTTGTTGATTGAATGTTCTATATGGTTAATAAAAAGAACAGAATTTAAGTAAATTTTTTTTTTTGATTTCATTTATGAATCAAACCTCAAAATGATCACTTTCTTTGGTATCATCAACGTCCATTTTTTCTTTAAATATAACCAATGGATCACGAATAAATAAATGAGCGATATGTTTAGCTATTGATGATGGTATATGATTATTGACCATTTGTTCATAATAACGTTCATTATAAACAACATTAATATCATTATAATGAACATGTTGTGGACTAATATAAAGATCAATAGAATCATAACGTGATTTCGGTATACGACCATATGATTGTCCATTTTCTTGACAATGGCCAGTAATTTCAGCTTCAGTACGATCATCAACTGATTGAGCAATTACTGACCAACGACAATCAATATCGGATAGAAAACCACGAAATATTGGTGATGCAGCCGATAATGCCATCATAATTGGACATAATGGTGCTAATTGATCATATAGACAGCATGCTTCATCAATATTTGATGCTTGAAATGTAACCTGCAAACAACAGCAACCCATACCGAAACCCATTGCATCCATATATATATGATCTTCTTTATTAACGATACGTTGACGTTCATTAGCGATTTCTTCATATTTTCGTTTTTGTTCATCATCAATATTATTATGATCAATATTTAATGCATCAACAAAATTTTCAATAAATGGACTAGAAGTATTTTGGTCCCTAAAAATAGGAAGATAAATATCAACATTACGTCCACGCCGTTCACGTATATTATTAGCTATTGTACAGAATCTTGGATGTCCAGTAAATATAGCTGAAAAAAATGAAAGAAAAATGAATAAAAATTATCATATTTGTACTAAATCAACAACAAACCTTCATCAGGAAAGAATAAACTACGGCTAAAGCCAAATGTAGGATGAACAAATGAACGTGGTTCACAAAAATCCAATGTACCTAATGTCGGAAATGGACTGATGGATAGGACAGCTTCATTATCATCCAATAGGTCTTGCACTTGTTTACGTCTCAAACGCATATTTGCTTCAATTACATTGACAAATGAAAATGGTGAACTTGATGAAGTTTTCAAATTATTATTGTCAATAATAAATGCATCATCTTGAATATTTTTATCATCATCATCATCGCCATCATTATTATTTTCATTGTTGATGTTGTCATCATTATCATTATTAATGATTAATTCAGATGTAGAATTTGATCCAGAATCAGAATCCTGTTGTTGTTGTTGTTGTTGCTGATGATTAGCTGTCATCAGATATTGTTCCAATGGTGTAGGATTCATACTATATGGTTGGCCAGGTGTACCTTCAACCATATAGGCACCAAATTCTGGTCTCCATAAACTAACACAATCTTGACCATTTTCTTCTGGTTCTTGAAGAATTTTTAATAATTCAATTGCACGATTTGATACACGTACTTTTTTAGATTGATGATCAAATTTTACAATCATATATTCAATCTAAAAAATATTAAACAAATAAATTGGAAACAAATAAACAAACAAACACCAACACTTACCTCATCACCAAATTTTAAAACTTCACTTGTTTTTGTTTTACATAGATTATAAAGATTAATAAATTGTTTGATACCATGTTCACGTATATATTCTGCATATGATTTTGTTTCCGGCCACGATAATGGTTCACCAATGGACAATAAACCCATAATAATTTATTTGTAGTATAAAAAAACCCTCCTCCCCAAAAAAAGACCACTAGGAATTCAATTCAATTCAATTCAAGTCAAAAAAAAACATTGATGAAATTCCAAAAAGAATCTAGACATGAAAAAACATCACCTACACAGAGAGAGAAAGAAAGAAAACAAGATGAGCATTTGAAAAAAAATGAGCATGTTATTTCAATTTATATATATACGGATTTAATTTCAATTTCAAACAAAATTATTATATAAATATATCGATAATCAAATTGATTTTGATATTCATTTTTGAGAGAGAGAGAGAGAGAGAGAGAGAGAACGAAACCGGTTTTATTCTTGTATATATACGATCACTGATTTGATTGATAATACAAAACAAAAAAAAATTAAATGTCTGTGTCTTTGTCTGTGTCTGTGTCACATGAATACAATCTGAAACAGATAATTCACAGTGAGAGGGAGAGAGAGAGAGAGATGGATAATACATGAATGTGGAAGAAACCTAATACAATCTTTTTATTCAATCACAATTTACGATGAATTTATTCATTTTTTTCTGGATTAAAGATAAAAAAACTTAATTTATGTGATGATGATGTGATAAAAACGTTTTTTTTTGTTTGTTTCAATCACAAAATTGTGTCTTGTATAAGCACCATTAGTGCATTTTATATTTTCATATCATATCTTTGAACTTTTGCTGCTGTTGTTAACCTTATTTGTGGATTTTTATAATGATAATTGGTTATTTCTTTTTTTTCTCTGGATTGTGGATCCAGAATTTCTTTTCGTTTTCGTTTTCGTTTTTGTTTTGTTTTGTTTTCGTTCTGTATAATGGATTTTATTATTTCGGCTATCAATTATTATCACTTACCAGCGTTTTTTGTTGTCCAAAATAATTGTCACTGTGTATTGTCGTTATACAACCAAAAAAAAAAAAAGAAAGAGGAATGTGCTGCAGTAGTCGCGCTGTTGTAATCGATTAATTCAATTCAATTTTTTTATTATTATTATTAATCAACGATCAACATACATTGACGATGATGATGATGATGATGAGTGATGAAGAGAGACAGTCGACGAAAAAAAAAATATCAAATAATTTCCATTATATGAATTTTCGAAAGCAAAAAAAAAATTAGTTGTGTGTGGCGTATCTACATGCTAAATACGCCCACACTAAAATACAACAACAACAACAACAACAAGAACAACAACAAAAACAGTAACAGCAGCAGTAGTAAAATTCCAAGAACAAGAAATTGCCCGAAAACCACAGGATAGAAACACACAATGATATACAACAACAACAACAACAACAACAACCACCACCACCACCAGAGAGTAAATTGTGAAGAAGAGCAATAATAAGCAGAAAAAAAAAATTTATATAGTGAATACTCGACTTATGACCAAAATTTTAACGGAAAAATTTTTTTTTTTTTTTTTTTGATTTGAAATTCTAAACTTTTCCAACAAAATTGTTTGTAAGTAGAGTTTTCACTGCATTTTTATCATGAACAAAATACAGTGGTACCTTAACAATGGTAATCACCATAGGAAAACCAATTATTTCGTTTTGATCCTAGACCTAAGATTTCTTGAAAAGCATCATAAACTTGATGATGATGAAAATGTGTGTGTATTTTTTTTTTTTTTTTGAAATTGTCACTTGTAATTATGATCCATAGATTCGTTCAGTAAAATCATTAAATTAAATTTCGACCATCGTTAAATGAAACAATTGCCAACCAAATACATGGTTAACCGAGGTACCACTGTGTGCATTTTATATATTTTACAAAAAAAAAATAACACATGCCGTTTACCAGACACTAGTTCCCAAAAAAACACACACACACACATTCGATCGATACAATCGATACTGTGTGAATTGTGTTTTTCCAAATAAAACAAAAAACAAAAAAAATTTCATCATTTCATTTCATTTAAATCCAATCTTCAATTTTAATTTTAATGTAGTGAAAATTTTTGTTGTTGTTGTTGTTGTTGTTTTTTTGTGTTTTTTTTTGTTTTTGTTTTTTCTTTCTGTATATATATAATTTAAATGCAAATGAAAAAAAAATTCTAGGTAAAATATAGTGTTAAAATAAATATATAGAGATAGAAAATGTATGAAATAAATATTATTTCAATTGCCGGAAATAGAAAAATACGGAAACACAGATCAATAGTACACCAGCAACAATCATTACAATCAATGCTGCTGTAGCCACTTTTTTTGGATATAATTTATCCTTTAATTTCTGTGCATTTTCATCATCAATTTCACCGGTTTCTTCTATGTAAAGAAATGGTGCTACCTGGTAATCATAGAATTCATTTATAGCCAAATCTTTCAATGCACTAGAAAAGAATAAATGAAATGAATAATAATAATTTTGTTTTGTTTTTTTGAAAATAAAAATAATCAAAAACACTTACGGTATAGCATTTTTTCGTACTTTAATATTAAGCATTAATTTTTTTTCAGCATTCAATACAATACCGGTTATTGGTTCAATATCAATAGTTGTTGCAAAATTTTCTTCCGTTACATCATCAATCGATATCAAACGATCTAAACCAGACCATTTTAAATGTTGTGGTGATTCATAATAATATGCTGGACTGGCTAGAAATTCAAAACCATTGGCAGAACCACATTTTTTCAAATTCAATAAACCAGCTGCACATTTTTTTACATCATCTTCCAAACAGAAACAACTATTTTCAACTGATTCTAAAAAATTTTCTTTCAACAATACATAACGATATGTTGCTATATCTTTGATATCACGATCCGGTAATATACCATGTTTTCCATATAATGCAAAAGCATAACAATGGTTCAAATGCCCATATAGTTTCATCACCAGTTAAACCAGGACTAAATTGTGTTCCATCCGTACCGGTTAATTTATTACAACGTGATGTGCTTCCATCATCATTATTATTCCACACAGTTATAACACTTTATTGATGAAATGAGAGAGAAAAAAATTTTTTTTTTTTTTGATTAAATTTTTTTGATTTAAATGACAACGACAACCATGTGATTGATTTACCTTCTATCACTGTATGATAAAGTTTGTTCCAATTGTTTTATATCGGATTTTCCAGTATCCACAATAAATGTATTATAATCTGATGCCTATTAAAAACAGACAAAAATATTTTTTTTCCAAATCAATAATCATTAATGATAATGATATAATAACTTATACTTACAGCAAGAATACTGATACCAAGATTCGAATTACCGGTTATTAATAGATCATGAATTGTATCAAAATTATATTCAACATTATCATAATAACGAAATGTATCTGGATCTTGTTTAGTGGCTTTTCTCATTAAATTCAAATTATCTTGTTCCATAGCCTAATATTTAAAGCAAAAAAAAAAAAATTTGTTCAGTGATGAAATTTAAATGAATGTATTCAAAACTAACCATAACTGGATTGAAAGTCATGATTTTATCATCCATATTACAATCTTTACATGATTCTTCTTTATTGAATGTATAATATTTATTCTGTAAATATGAAACATTATAACCACCAGGACCGAATTCAATATATGATTTATTTCTTTGTTCATTATAAACATATGGACCACGTTTTTTATATGTAATTGTATTTATATTTTTATAATCAAATGTTGAAAAATCGGCTTCAAATACCCAAACACGAAATTTTAATGGTACCGGTAATGATTTAAACATATCCCAAATGTCGGTATTATTCTCATCAAGTACCAATTGCTAAATAATAACGTATATAGAATAGAAGATAAAATGAAAAAAATTTCAAATTTCATTGAGAATTTTGTACTATTTTTTTTAGTGGGGGGAGAGGAGGAAATTCATTATACAAACCTCATTAACTTTATCTTGTACAATATTCGGTAATGCACCAAATAAAATGGTCAAACCGATAATGATGAATGCAGCGCCAATAACACCGATTGTAATGAGAATTTTTGGATTCATTTTTGTCGTTTGATGATGATGATGATGATGATCGAATGAGAAATCAAATATAAATAAAAATAAAAATCAACAATAAAAAAAAGACAGATGTTTTTTTTTGTTTTGTTTTGTAAATCACAGATATTTTAATGTGATCCGATTGCTGACATGAACATGAATGTAGGAAAAAAAACAATCTGTAGTTTGGACAAATGGAACAAAAATAAAAAAAAATATAAAATTTTTTTTCTGATATAGATTGCCAATTTTTAAAATCAATGACAATCAATCGAATCCTCATTGCATCAATAATCATAATCATTATATATATATATATGTGTGTGTGTGTGTGGAGAAAGTAATAATTTAATTTATTGTTGTTATCAGACACGATCCATTTAATTAATCCAATAATTTGATCGATTAATTGATAATAATAGATTTTAATTCAAAGAAAAAAAAATTCAATCTGCAATAAGTGATTATCCTCAAAAAAAAAAATTATACTCATTGATAATCACAACCCATCGACTTTAATCTGATTAGATGTGATCTATTTTTTTTTTTTTTTTTTTTTTTGGTAAATCCAATCCAATTTAAGGATTTTGAAGTGAAATACAAATTTCAAAAAAGAGGCTTGTCCAGAAAACAAAAAAAATAATGATAATGATGATGATGATTATGATCTTTACATGGAAATTTATATTATTTGGGTACAAATATATTTATATATATATGTATGCATTCCTGTGATCAATAACGGATGCAACAATGATAATGAAAAGAAAAAAGGAACAAAAATGTCATTATATTAATTATTATGAACCAAAAGTCAGAAATTTTTTTCATTTTTTTGGTTGTACCCAAGAATTGAATCATGTAGATTGTAAATCCAAAAAAAAAAAAAAAAAAATAATGTCCAAATTCGCATTTTATCATTATTATTATTGTTTTTTCATCAATAAAATAGATGGCGTTTGATTTGTGATTGAAATTGAATGATTTAAGTAAAAAAAAAAGAATCACAAGAATCCACTTCTTTTTTTTACATACATACACATTAGATCTATATATATAGATGTCATCTATATATATATACAAACTTTGGCATTTGACAATCATCAATATTCACAACAGTCCATTTCAAATGTAAAGACTTTGGGTCATTTTTGGATAACTGTATCTCTGGAAATATATATTATATTATATATATATGGATAAAAATTAGGTCACGTGTGTTTATGCGCATCGAAACATGATCATGTAATCAAATATTTTTATCATAATATTAATCTACTATATATATCTATTTAGAACATATATATAGATATGATAATAGTGATGTGCTAAATTATGATTACTACTGCTACTACAGCAACTACTATTACCTAATTTTTGATTATCAATTTTACAATTCTATTCACAATTCCACATTCGTAGTGTGTAGAATAAAAGAATAGACCAGAAAAAAAGAGTAGTTGTATTGTAGTGGTGATTTAGAATCTTTTTTTTTTTTTTTTTCGTCGAATTCATTCTGAGTCAACTCTCTCTCTCTCTCTCTCTCTCTTTCTCTCTTTCAAACTTTTGCGCAGTTCGAAATGGAAAAAAAGCCAATGTTCATCAATGTTGAATGTCTAAAGTAAAGGAATTTCTATACATCATTATTATTGAATTCAAAATCTCAGAAATATTGAAACATTTTTTTTTTGTCATGCCACTGCTTCAGCCAGTAACATCGTATACAATATCGTATTCACATATATAAACCGACAAAAACAACGACAAAACAACAGAAGAAAAATATGAAAAAAAAATGAAAAAAAGAGAAGCAAAAAAAAATGGATGAATCATTGAAAATAAGAAACAATTTCTGGCAACCAAAAAGTGTGAGAGTGTATGGAAAAAAAGATAAAAATAAAATTAATATACAAAAAGAACTGAACATTATTCCTTCTTCCTCCCACCTCTCTCTCTCTCTTTCTCTATCTTTCTCTCCGTCTTCGTCTTCCTATTTATACAACCCCCATCACCAGAAAAAAAGAGGATCCTAGGAAATAGTCTGTTATTAATATACCGCTACCAACCCAGCTAAACTAATCGTATATACGATTACTAGCTAGTGTGTATGCGTGAACAACAACCATGACCAGGAAAAAAATGGGCAGAAAATGTAGAAGAAGAAGAAGAAGAAGAAGAAAAAATTGTTATGATAAAATCAACCAATCAACCAACCAAGTAACCGACTATTGCAACATTTGAATTTTGGTATATAATCATTATGATGATGATCATGATGATCATGATCATCAACAACAACAACAACAACATAAAAACATCAACATTCAAGACTCATATAGACAATTTTTTAGATATCTTTAGACATCAAACATTTTTGAACACATTGACAAAAATTCAAACAAACAAACAAACAAACAAACAAATAGCACGAATAAAACCATATAGTCACCATACATCCGATACCAATACAAATATATAAAATATATCTTGCGCGTATCATCAGAAAAACACTGAAAATCCAAAAAAAAAAAAAATCAAAATCTATAAATTTCACATTCATTTGTGTGTGTGTGTCTGCTATTGGCTGATTTTATATTCCACATTTTTTTCCAATTTGTTAGTACATGTGTTCAATGCATGTGTAACTTTAATATTTTTTTTTCTTCCTAAAATTTTCATTTTCATTTTCATTTTCATTTTAACTGTGTGTGTGTGTGTGTGTGTACTGTGTTTAAATTGAATTGAATTCAAATTTTTGTTTTTTGTTTTGTTTAAATTTTTTGGTTTCATTTTCATTCATTTATTGTTTAATTGAGATTTAACGTGTGTGTGTGTGTAAGTGTTTGTTTGTTGAATGAACCGGATTCGGATTTTTTTCACTGAAATTCATCTGTTTTTTAAATTGCTGAACAATTTTTTTTTTTGTTGCTGGCTCAGTTTCGTGATTCATTTGATCATCAATTTCACAGGTATGTTGATATTTTTTCTATATGAATTTTTTCATTCAATTCCATAAGATTAAGTCCAAACATTCCAAGTATTGGAATTTTTTTTTGTTTTGTTTTGTTTTGTTTTGTTCAACAAAAATGACCCACCCGCAAGCATTGCACTGTGTGTGTTTTTTTTTTTATTTTTAATCATTGCGTGTGTACTGATATAATGTACTGAAAAAAAAATTCTTGAGACAGATAGAAATGTCGACATTTTTTTCCCTATTAATTGAAATTTTCCAGATATTAGTCAATATCATCGTTTGCGTGTATGTGTGTGTGTGTAAAAAATTATCGACAACGATGATTGGCAATATATTGATAAAACGTTATGTGTATTATTAATAGACATCATTCGATTAAAATCAATCAAATTAGATCAAAATTAGAACAAAAAAAATCATGTAGAATATTAATGATTATGAAATCAAAATTTTTTTTTTCATTTTCATTTTCGTATATATTTTGTCAATAGGCACAACGCTTGTCGGTATTATTTTATTTTTTTTTTTTTTCATCCTATGGCGGGAATAATGATGACATTTATCAAACATTCATTGTACATCCGAATAGTGTGTGTGTATATACAATGTTTTCATCCTTAAATACCATCATTATTATTATTATTATTAATCTCTCATCGTCATCATTTTTTTTCCATTCATTTGGTTTAAATTTTCAATCAAAATCCATTGATGCTGATGATGATGAAGCATTTATTTCATTTTTGAATCCAAATTTTTATTCCATCCAATTTTATGTTTCTCTGCTCAGCTTTCTATCCTTTATTTGCAAGCCACCGTCTTGCATCGCCATCATAAATACAATTTCAATGTGAAAAAAAAAATAATAACAAGACCAAAAAAAAAAAAAATCTTTATCACAATTCTTGGTAATAGAAAAAAAATTCTCATATATCGATTTAGATATCGATCCAAAAATAAATCCAAAATGAAATGAAATCATCTTATTCTCAATGGAATTTTTCGTATTTTTTCCATAGCAGTAGTGGTACGATTCTGATTTGGTTGATTTTATATAGCTAAAATTGCCATTATTGCCAAAAAAAAAGAATTCCAATTTTGATTTCAATCTATGAATCAATGAAAAAAAAATGAAATCTCAATTTATGAAATGTAGAATATGAAAAAACATTTTTCCGGCTTGTCGATGAAAAAAAATGACAATATGAAATTTAACAATCACGACAACAACAACAACAACAACAAGACAAATGATAATGTGACATGATAGACATTACAAAAACATTTTGTTTGTCTGTGTTTGGATGTTTTTTTGTTGTTGTTGTTGTTGTTCACCAACAACAACAACAACATTCTACAATGTCAGCATAAAGAAATTGATATGAGAAAATGTTTGTTTTTTGTTGTTGTTGTCATATTCCATGTACAGAATCAACAACCATAGAATTAGATGAAAACAAAATATTGACCAAAAATGTTTTTCTTTCCTTCTTCTTTCTTGGTTACTTTAGTTTGTGTAACCAGAATTGTGAATTTCAACTTTTTTTTTTTATCCAAAATTCCATTATCATTAATGATGGTCATCATCATTTGATTCGATTCATTATTCAGATTTTTTTTCTCTCATCCAATCCATAAATATTCAATGAAAATGATTATCCACCGAAAAAAAAAGTTATCAACATATAAAGTCATTATGTGCTATTTGTCCATTTATTTTCACAACAATTCACTTGGGTAAAAGTCATTTATTCAACTTTGTTGTTGTTGTTATTGCAGATGTTGTTATTCCATTTTATTATCATCTCATTGTTTGACTTTTATTCTAGCTTTGATTTTTTTTCTGGTAATTCATAATCATCATCATTATTATTGCAGTATTGGATTGACTATTTTGAACATTGACTGGCCCAATACTGTATTCTATATATATATGATTATTCTATATGATGATGATGATGATGATAATCTATAGATAACTATATAAATATCAAACAGTGATATATTGCCATCAAAATCGAATCCGATTCTTTAGATAAGAATCAAGTAGTAGAGAAGCAAAAAAAGTTTATTTTTTACAAAATAAAAAAACTTGACAAACATAGAATCTGTTTGATGTGTCCAGTGCCAGTGTGTTAATTTTATTATTCTGTGTAAAGAGAATTCTACTTGAATGTCACTAATAATCCAAAATTTATTATCTTAATAATAACAAGAAACCTGATCGGCCATATAAATTAGC